GACGGCTCTTCCCGGGTTCCCGTGGCTGTCACTCGCTGGTTCACACCTCGGCTGAAGGCCTTCTCCTCCGGCCTCTCCCGGGGCTGCAGCAAACACCGAGAGGAGTGCGTCCGGCGGGAGGACCCCGGGGAGCGGACGTGGCCAGCGGCTTCGGAGCCACTGCGGCTGCTCCCGCGCTTCCCAGGCTGCACCTGGGGGGAAGACGCCACCGTGGGGGGACGCTCCTGCTCCAGCCCCGACAGAGAAGAGGAACAGGAGCAGAGGGAGACGGGCAGCAGCCACTCTGAGACCCGCCGTGCTCGTCAGCAAACAGCTTCCAGAGTTTCTTAACGGACAAGGACACGCGAGAACTGAGGAGCACACAGCAGCCGGCCCAGCCGGCGGGCTCAGCGGCTGAGCATCAGCCTGGCACCAAGAGGTCCCGGTTCGGTCCCTGGTTCAGTCCCCGGACAGGACACAGGCCCGGGTTGCCGGCTCGATCCCCAGTGTGGAGTGTGCAGGAGGCAGCCGGTCCATGATTCTCTCTCGTCATTGATGTTTCTCTCTCTCCCTCTCCCTTCCTCTCTGAAGTCAATTAAAAAAAATATATATATATATACATACATACACACACACACACACACTTTTTAAATAAGAAAGCATCATTGCATTCGGGAAGGACGGAGGCTGCCTCCTGGGAGTCCCTTTACAGAGTGAGGTGTGTGTGTGTGTGTGTGTGTGTGTGTGTGTGTGATTCCTATAGGTGACTCATTAATGCAACTCTGCAAAGCACAAGAGCACAGCCTGTCCCCGGGACCACATCCCCACGCCTCCTGCCACAAGCCTCGGTCTGAGCACTGCTGGGCGGCGAGTCCTGCCCTCTCCCGCGGTCGGGTCCATCCCCACCTCTGCGCACAGCACGGACCTGGGCCCACGCACTGGGTCCCCATCACCACCAGGCACCAGCCATGCCCCAGCCACCCGGAAAGGGCTTCCCAGTGACAGCCCCCAAGGACCACTGAAGCCGGCAGCTCCCAGGGGCGGCGGTGTGCTACGGAATGTTTGGGGCGCCCTATGCACTGAGGTGGGGGGGACACCAGCTGGGACACAGGGCCCCTGGGCGGGGGGAGGGCAAGTCTGGCGGATGAGCCCGAACGCGGCCGAGTTAACGATGTTTTCCTTTGGGGGAGGATGAATGCGGCCTCAGACAGATGCTGCCGGCAGCTGTTTGATTGGGGGCCGGGCAGCCGGAGACCGAGGGGAAGCTGACAAAGGGGCCCTGTCTCGGAGGGAACCCGACGGCGTTTGCACAGCTGCGGGCGCGCAGGCATGTCCTTCGGGCTGACCCGGGCGCGGCCTGGGCCTTAAACCTGACACTTTCCAGATGTGGGCGCCCCGCTGGGCCCGCAGCCCGTCCCCAGGTACAGGGCGCACGCACTCGCTCCCCCCACGCCCACGGCCCTCAAGGCCGCCTTGTCCTGAGCTGGCCTCGCCCAAACGCCCCACGCCCAGGCCCCCAGGGGAGGCCCCAGGCTGAGCCACGGATCTATGAGCTGGATTCCAACAGAGTTCAAGTTCAAAGTGGCCTCGGCGGCGGCTGGCTCCAAGTCAGGTGCAGAGGGTGCTGAGCATACCTTCCAGAAGGTTCTCTCCTGAGATCTCTGCACCCAGAGAGCGAGGGGCGGGTGGACAGAGGGGTCCCCTCTGGCAGAAGTCTGGGAGTGGGGTTCCCTCCACGGCCACTCAGTCCTCCTCTGCCTTGAGCACAGCCCATGAGAATCATGGATCGCCTGCCTCCCACACGCCCCACACTAGGGGTCAAGCCCGCAGCCCGGGCCTGTGCCCTGACCAGGCTTCCAACCAGGACCTCCTGGTTCATAGGTCGACGCTCAGCCATGGAGCCACGCCAGCTGGGCGAGAACATTCATTTTTCACTCATGTTTTTCTAGTTGGTGAAACGATTAAAAAAAATAAAGATCAGCTCCAAACGTGCCCGATCTAACGTAGAGCGGGAAGGCTGTGTGTCATTTCACTGGGCCGCTGTGTTCCTTGTAATTCTCCCCTGACCAGGTGGAGGGCGAGAACCGGTGCCTGCTGACGCCCCTGTGACGCCCCAAGTCACCGCTACCTGCGTCTCACGCTCTCCGGCCCAGGTCACCATCTATGTGTGGAGCTGGTGCCAACCCGTCACCCAAGCCCTGGTCCCCGTAGACATCTCCACCGGGGTCCCCACGATTCACCCCTGGACTTAGACGTAGCACCTCCCTCCTCAAGGCTCTTCTTCCTCCTGAATTCTCCGTCCGCCCCGTCCGTGTCCAGCTCGCTGCCGAGTGGTGATTACCGCACTGCCAAATTTCGCTGCATCTGTTCCTCCTGCTCATCCTGTCTCCACCCCGATTCAGGCTTCTCCCATCTGCCCACCACAGCGCTGTATTGGACAGAGTACCCCACCCCGTCTGATAACAATCCCCAAACCTCAGTGGCTTAACG